TTAACTGGATTTTTATCCACATATGCTTCATCCACTATTCCTTTTGCTTGAAACTTCCAACCTGAGCTTTTTTTCTGAAATCAAATGCTCTCCTGTCCCCCATGCATGCGTTTTTTACAAATAGGGCAACCCTAAGACACAGGATTCTGAAAAGACACACACAGAGATTTTAGAACATATACAAATTTGTGCATTTTTTTTAATCCTGTGGGCAGAGTCCTAGATTTTTTTGGTACCCAGCACTGTCCCTGGTTTTTATGGTGCCTATAATTTTATGAGTTTTAAGGCTGCATTAGTTGATAAACATGTTAATACCTGTGTATGTTATTTTGTTGCTTTATGTTTGGATATTGTAAGTTTGTTTCACTGTATGGTGCTCTGAAGGTCTTTGGTACAGAAAGCAAGGTAAAAATCAACGGGTCATTTCATAAATATAAGTCTTAGATTCATTAGCTGTCTTGGTAGAATGCCAGGATAGAAATAACAGCAATCATTAAATCAAATCTTATGCCAATTAGAAAACTTAATAGTAGGCATTTCTTCCCCTACTTTAGAACTAGAAGAACATAAATCCCACATCAACATAACCAATCCTTCAAGGAAAGCCACCATGTGCTACGTGCTTCTGAGATAATATTCTTATGGAACAATCCTATAGAGATGAGCAGAAGCCTCTGAGCTGAGAGGCTCATGTTCCTCCAATGAATGGAAGAGCAACAAAGCCAGTCAACGCCCCCTGCTCAGCAGAGAGCCCTTTTCGGCTGACTAGTGACGGCTTTTCAGAGGGAGAAGGACGCTTCAGGATACCTTGTGTCCTGGAAGCTCCAGACTTCTCTTCTCCATGCAAACTGCTTCCATTAGTCCCTACTCAAGATTTCTTTCCCAACCTCCGAGAGTGGCTGGTGCTGTTTGCTTTGTGCCAACTGAGACAGATGGAAAGCGGGGTGGGGGTGGGGGCTGGAGCTCCAGTTCCCAGCTCAAGGGTCAGAGTGCTGTCTCTGACCTTGGAGCTGATAATCTAAACCATCCTGTGGCCTCTTAGACAATGATGAGGGCCCATAGGATTCTTCCTTTAATGTACCTTTTTGGTTCAGATAACTTCCCCAATGCAAGTTGGTTGGGATGACTGGAGTTGCAGTACAACACATCTGGAGGCAGCAAGTTTGAGAACGGTCCTTTAGTGAACAGAGGCTAGACCAGAAAAATTCCTGTCAACACAGCATCGTAGCAGAATGGCCCAGTGCATATGAAGTCTGCCTCTAAAAGACAATCTTCTTCTTGTGACTTTGCAGATGGTTTCTACAGTTTTATTATCCTGGATGAAACGGCACTGTCTTTGCATTAACTGCTAGATGCACTAAGTGTCTTCAAGATTCCCTGCATAGCAATTATATAATTGCAAATGCTTGCCATTAGCCAGATTCTAGAAGAAACTGCAATCTGGTATTTTCCTTCCACTGTGCCACATTCACATTATTCTAAATTGCATGCATTCTGACACGCTATACTGAGTCTCTGCAGGGTATTTTGTAATCACAAAACAATATCTAATAAAACTGCACACCGTTACAGTCATTCTGATAGACATCAGAAAGCATTTGAACACAAGTAAAGCAAATCAACACTTTTAAAAGAAAGTTTACATCACTGTAATAGTGAAATGGTTCTATCTGAGACAGATGAGACATTGTACAACAGGGAAAGAATTGTAAAGTAGAATTCAAACCATAGTAGGTGCATGACACTACACTGAACCCCCTGACACTTTTTTCCTCATTAACCATTTAGAGATCATCATGGAGCTTTGAAGAAATTGTTAATCATCATCATGCTATCTGGAATTGCATGTGTCTATTAAATTAGGCAAATGCTAATAATTTGCTTCTGTGAGTGTCATTAACCAACTGATTTTATACTTAAGTGCCAGTGTTCTCAACTGGGAGCTAGTTCCCAATAAATATGCAGAGAAATGCTCCTTGGAAGAGTTGGGAAATCGTAAAATGAGTTGAACAAACGCCAATAATCTGGGAAGTAATGAATTCTTCCTAGTCTAGCCTGAGGGGGCAGTAGAGTGTTTTATGATGGTTTGGAATAAGTCAATTCTACTTAGAGTAAGGCCTTTTTAATGAAAAGTTCATTACAGCAGGATCTTCACTTCCCCAAGCCCCATATTTCTCTATCTTTCTGAACACTAGGTGTTCAGAAAATGAACAGAGAGCTCTTTACATGTATGTCCAATAAAATTCTCAGTATTACCATCGGCCAGCCTCTGAATTTTCTGCACCTTTAATGGCCTGACATGTGAAAATACAAAACTTGGGCAAAGCATCACTTGTTTAATTTCAGCTTGTCAGATTTGTTAAAAGCACAATAGCAGGGCTAGTTTAAACAATGGCAGCCTTAGAGGTGTCATATGCTATGATTACTGGGAAAATTGGTTTTTGTCAAAAAGGTGGATTGGTTTTTCATTATCTCTACAGCTTAGCTATTACTAATTAGAAACCCACCAATGTTCAGGTCTGAAAAACTGTTTAAACAAACCACAAAGAAAACTTCGATGTTATTAATAGTGAAAAATTAAGCCACAAAGCTGATCTTTCCAAAATGAGAAGGAACAAATTAAGATTCGTTCCCACAAACAGCTTAATGATGACAAATGCCATAATGTTATTAGGAGAGTTCTAAGTTATTTCTGGTATATTCTGTTTATGAACAAAGCTTCTTGTTGGCTCCAGTATGCTGGTTAGCTGAACAATTATTTTGTCAAGAGCATCTTTTATGGCAGCAGATGGCCAATACTTGAACCCCTCTGAATTAGTTTAAACATCAAAAACCCCACACATTTTGGTTAGTATCTGAAAATGAAAATCAAGTTTTAATATAAAAACAAATGCTTCCGTTCCCCAATGAGAAAACATTCTACTTTTGCTCCCCAATGAGAAAACATTCTTTACAAGTATAACAGCTCAGATAAGTGGTGGTAGCTGCAATGAAAAATACATAAAAGACTATGTATAGACAGCTAGCTGCTCAGGGATGAAACTCTCTCTCTGAACAGTGATTTTGTTTCTGTATGCAGGAGAGTTTAATCATGTGAGCTACCATCTCCTAAATAAAATTTTACAGTGACAAACAACACATTGGCTTTAATACATGGCATACATGTATAGATGCATAGTTCGTAAAAGGGAAAGATGGGGACTATATCAGGATCAGGGTTTTTTAACCCTTTGCCCCTTCTCTGGTTCCAGTTCAGATCAGTCCCCCACCACCACCACCACACACACACCTGCATTTTGCATAGAAGATAATTCCAATTTCTCTTTGATGGAAGTTTTCTTCACCTTATGCAGATTTCAGGCACAGGAGGCACAGTCCAGACTGGAACCACAGCAGGGAGCAAAAGATCAAAACCATTTGGTATAGTAGTGAGAGTCTGGTACTAGTGCTTGGGAGATCGGTATTCTATTTCCCACTTAGCCATGAAATGCATTAAGTGACTCTAAGCCTAATTTATCCCATGGGGATGTTGTGTTGTGAGGACACCATTGAGGAGAAGGAAGTTCATGTAAGTTACCTTGGGATTCTTGCAAGAGGAAAAAAAGGCAGGATATAAGTGTATCAATAAATTTTAAAAGGCTCTGCCACATGATGCTTTGGTTTCAAGCTGCACTGGCCACATCAAACTTATTTATGAGGAAAGAAAACAGCACTGATCTAGATTCACTTTTTTCAGATAAGCTTATCAGAATACAATATATGGTACAGTAAATACACTATATAATAGATAGCACATAAAATAAACAAGAATAGTACATAAGACAATGGCTATTCATCCTTCAGTAAATAACATTTCCTCATATATAAGCTGTAATTCAAAAAGTTATAAAGTAGTATGGCAATTTTCCTCAAATTTGATTTTACTCATTTCCCATCTCTCAGCCTTCAAATTCTATTAGCTTGGCCATCATGTATCCCTGCCATATTTTCTGTTTCCATTCTGTGAGGGTAGGTAACTCTGATCATCTGCAGTGCTTAGCTACTATTAGCATGGCTGCTATCAATAGATTCCGTATCTGTGTTAATGAGCTAGATGTAGTTACACTCTATGCATCAGTGTAACATGTAGTTTGGTTCACAGTGGAGACACACTGCTCCCACCACATTTGCTGTTTATGAAAATGAGACCTAAGATGCTCCTAGATTAGAAAAAGAACACTAAACAAGGAAAACTATTACTGAGAGAGAGAGAGAGAGAGAGAGAGAGAGAGAGAGAGAGAGAGAGAGAGAGAGGGGAGGTGCCAGCAAATACTATGTTTATGCCTGGTTTTGTACCAGTTTGTATTAACTGTGTTATCCAATAGCGGTCAGCATGCCCACAGGCACAGTTGCTGGGAAACGTGCAATTGCCAGGTGCACTGATGCAGCATACCTGTCAGCTGCAACCTAGAAGTGCCTTTTATAATATCCACATGAGTGAATTCATCTCATTCTCTCCAGACACCTCCTGTAAAACAGGCCCATTGATTTCAAACAAAATATGTATTTGTATTGCACATAGCATTTGCTGTTCTTTTACTTGCATATGGCATATGCTATTTCCAGATTCAAATATGAGCATATACAGAAAAGACAAATTATAAAGCCATCTGTTAAACCCAACAGGTATCAAACAGATCAAAAAGGATTTAAGGAAGACATTGCTGTAGTAACACTTTCTCTGTCAAGGTGCCACCAGTGTAACCAGATGGAGAAGTTACATCCCCAGTTTGTGCAAGAGAAGCAGAAGGCCTTTTCCTGGACAGGTGGGGAAGAACCCAGCATTCTCTTAGTCTTACATTGGTTAGAATAAAATTATCTTTTACAGCAGGTTTTCAAGGCCACACATGAAGAATGTAGTCCCTGAAATTCTGTTTCTCCAGACTGATAGCAAAAAATAGTATGTGCTTCATGGAGTGCAAGACAGAATTACAGGTAAGAAATAAAAATAATTACTGTACCTCACAGTGAAATCGTAGGAACAGGAAGCCAGTAGTGTGGCGTGAAAAGGTGAAAACTGCAAAAGGATAAAAGGAATACAAAATATTACCAGCACAAAATATAAGCTATGTAGGCTGGGGAAGAGAGAAAAGGGAACTGACTAAAAACAGATTTTGTATAGTATCATAAAAGATCCAAATGGAAAAATTACTCGGTATAAAGAACCCCATGAAATTTCTTGACTCTGTTTCAATAAAGCAGCTCCAAGAAGCCCTGTCATAAATTAAGAATCTAACTTAATTTTAAATCCCTTACATGACAGATACACAAGGTGGCTATTATATTTTTCTTCGAGATACAGATTGAACATGGATCCTCAACTTGCAATGAGCTGTTGAAGCCTGCAATAAGCCATCAAAATGTTTAGAACTCTTCCCCAATTCAGTAGGAGCAAAATGCTTCCAAATCTCTATCATGTCACAGAACATTTAAGAGATATAGATGGTTGAACCAAGGCCACACTCTCCCAAGATTCTCTTTTCATTTAATTACTGTTAAAAAAAACCTGACTCAAGCTTGAAAACTAGTGCCAGCAAAAACATTTCTCATAATTTCACCCATTACAGAGAATAGATACATTATTACGATCCTTGGCATACACTGAACAGATGAATAAAGGCTGCGGCAAAGATGGGGATAACAAGCCAAACTCTGTCAACCTCATTGCTGGCTCCCATACAATTATCTTTTAAATCAGCATTTTCAAGCACATCTGCAGTGAAAAACAACTCTCCCACAAAAGGTGTTATAGACCTTAATATTACAGACCTTAATATCCCAACTTGTGTTGCCTTTAAAGTGCTCAAGCACCAAGAACATCCAACAGCTAAGTTTCACATTTCATCACAGCAGCCACTTTAACATACTTTATCTATACGATGAATGCATGCAAGTGCTTTTCAAAAACGGTTGCTGTTCTTACGTGCTATCAAGCTGTCCCCGACTCATGGAGGCCCAACAAATAAAAGACCTCCACACTGTCCTATCCATGACAGCCCTGCTCAGTTCTTGTAAATACAAGGCTGTAGCTTCCTTAATGGAGTCAGTTCATCTAATATTTGCTCTCCCTTTTCTTCTTCTGCCTTCAACTTTCCCTAGCATGCTTGCCTTCTTCAAAGAGTTTTCCAATGTCCCTCCCTCACACTCTGTATGGAAAAAGTCACTTGTTTGAAATATTATAAATTATACAAGATCTTTTTTCACAACTAACCAATAAGCTGCCCTTTAAGTACTCATAAGTCTTAAGCATGCTTAACAAAAAATCTGTTTACAGCAGAGTGGGCAAATTTGGAAGGCAATTTCCATGCTCTGGACCCGCCCAGAATTAAATGCTTGGCATCACTGCTGCAGAGTCAAAATCTGGCAGCTGCAAAGCAATCAACAGTTTGTTGTCAAATTTCTCTAACATGAAAAAGCCTGAAAGGGGCTATATTTCAGCCATTTTCAGCCTCAGTTGCATTGCTGAAGTTCAATGACAAAACACTTGTCTTTGTTTTAGTGATACAGCAGTGGGGAGGGGGGATGCTGCACCAAAAGCCAGAGCTGCATGCAGCCAATGGGCTACATATTACCTGCCCCTGCTCTAGAGGAACACCCTGGCTTCTATCATGGGTGTAGCTGGAGACATTTACTTCTCCTCACCCTTTATATTCAAAAGCCAAGAATCTGCTGCTTCTGTAGAGAGAGAAACATAATAATTGAGTTCACATGTTCACATGACAAGTCACCCTGGGTTAATAAACCCATGGGGCAGGTACCGTACATGCTAACATTCTTTCTGATAAGCAAGCCCCGTTTTTGGGCTTTTCCGGTTTGGCATGTCATGTGAAGTCAAGCAGTGGAAGTTGCCAAAGGATTAAAAAACACTTGAATAACCAAGGGCATGTTCTAAGATTACATAAGATCTGTTTAATCTTTACAAAACCCTGTCATCCGGGTTCACCTGATGGGACAAGCCACAGCAACCATTGACCAGGGTCTGCATATTCAAAATGGCAGATAGCACATACCCCAACTTGCCGAGGATTAATCAACCCTTGGTAACCCATGTCATGACATGCAAACCGGCCCATTCTGCCTACCATAAAACATATGGTAAAGGTGCCTTTCATTTAGTTTTGGGAAGGGAGATTTAATGTGTTGATAGTTCAATGTGGCAGGTTTGGTTTAATTTGTTCTACAGAGTTTTCCTAAAATTGTTATTAAGACTACTGAGATGTTGATATTCTGCTTGAAATGTACTGTTTTAATGCTTACTTATATTATGCAGTGGTGTTACTATTTCTTGTATACTGTCAAGTTCCTGAAACACAATTTCCTTGTGAAATTTAAGAAGATGAAAGCTATCAATTAAAGAATAATTTAATGTTTTGAACCACAGATTCACACAGCCTTTTTGGTCCTGGTGCTACTTCTATAAAATGCCCTTCCCAGAGAGGTCCATCTGATGCCAATATTATTTTATTCCTTGAGAAAAAAAGGAAACTTTTTAAATATCCCCAACAATAATATTTTAAAGCAACCAATCCTAGTCTTACTTACTACCGACTCAGGATACAGTGTTATGCCTCCTTGACAGAAGTCTTAAGATTCCCAGTATTTTCCAGCCAGCACTGAACCAGCTCTTTCTGAATTCAATTGTGTTTTACATTTAAGTGGAAATGAGTAAGCTTACACTTGAAAATTACATTTTGAAAAACTTTCTGCATGCTCTGTTTCTATCTGCTGGTTTTAATCTCATGCCTCATTATTTTCTTATTTTTTTATTTTAGTGAACCAAAATTGAACCAAATTTGGAGAATAGATAGTTAGATAGATAGATAGATAGATAGATAGATAGCTTAAACAACTTATGAAGTGCTCCTCAGTGTTAAAAGAGGTTTGCTAGGTAGTTGGGAGTAGAGCAAGTAAGCAGTTGGTTGGAAAATACAAGTCCAAACCTTTCTGAAAGTGCAGAACCTCTCATGTTGTGCTATGGATCTGGGCTACTGTCAACTGAAAGAATGCAGTACAATTTTTAAGTCAGAAAATGATTCCCAGTTTCATTATTTAATTTATTTGGCTTTTGTTTACTCTTTTACACTACTGATGCATGTATAGTAATCCACAAATGTAAAGAGGAAGAAAAAATTAAAACTTACTTTTACTCTTCTTATAGCATAAGTATGCCCAACAAGGTTGAATACTGGTTGTCGTATGTTTCTCAAATCCCATCCCCTCAAACTGCAGTCAACAGCACCCGTTACAAGTAAGTTCTGACAATGTAATAAAAGGAACAAGTAAACATATGAATCTCTTTCAAATAATAAAGTTAAAGAACAATGGGTAAAATAGGATCACCCTAGAGTTACCAAACATATATGTCAGAAAAGGGTAACTGCAGAAGCCATTTTCACCCCACTGCCCCCTCTCCCCCTAGGCACAAATTTAAAAATATATAATTAAAAAATAAATTGTGGCTATGGTGTGCCAAAGGCTTTAAATAAGCTTGATGATTTTGTCCTTTTGGCACACTGTAGCCAGTAAGAATCCCATTTACTTCCTCCACCCCCCAATGTCACCTATTACCAAGTTCTGGTACATTCAGGGGATGGTGAGGGCCATCACAGTGGCCCATGTGTTGCCACCCCAATACATACAAGAATAAAATACATGAGAATGTTATTTATTTATTTATTTATTATTTGGAGTTTTTGTATGCCGTCCCATTCGCATGAGCCTCGGGATGGCTTCCAGTATTAGAATATTAAATATTAGAGACCTGGAGTTCAGAAGAATATTCTCATTCTATATCCAATTTGCCTCTCGGTCCTCTATCTTAACCCTACATGTGTAATCTGTGTTCTGGTTCATACATAAGCATAGTTCAAGTAATACAAAACTACATGCTATCCACTTCAGTTCAGGAGTGGAGACAAAGAGGCCTTTGGCAGTTTTATTGTTTATTCGTAGGAGCTAGTTGTGTCATTTGAACTAAACACTGTCATTTGTGGTTAAATCCTAACTGTATTTTTCTGAAACAGGTTAAGTTCCAACAATGAAACTTGAAGTTGGTTTACTTTTCACAAGCCATAGTTGAGATTGACTAGTCTGTTGTTTGGACAAAGCTGTAGCACCTGTAAGCATCCACTTTCTGACGATGCTTGGGTGTGCGGGGAGGAGGCAAAGCTTGCTGTGGCTTAGTCTTGCATCACTAAAACATTGCTTAGCATTACATGAAAATGCACCCAACACGTGCCATCCTTGCAGACTCTATGGAATAAGTATATGCTTTTTGTAGGTAAATACAAAATCTTCTGCAGGTACTGATACTGTTGACTACGGAAATATTTTGAGCTGTGGTGATAGATAGTAGTAAATGCAGAATAATGGTGTTAAGAGACAATTTTGTAACTGACTGTTAATAGTGTTATGCAATTTTGAAAAAGATAAAAAAGGCAGGGGAGAAACAGACCAGACAAAAATAAAAAATATTAAGTCTTATAATTTCAGTGGAATAGTGAAATCTGTCCAAAAATGCTTAATGTTGCCAGTTTCTGACCTATATTATTACCTGCCTACCCTAATCATAATACACTGCTACTCAATAAAGGCAATTTCATGAGTTTTATAAATAGACTGTTTTCCTCTACTGTACCTGATCATACTTGCACCAGTCACAACTTAGAATTTCAGCCTGGTGAGCAGGAATGATCACTGGGATCCTTGGTGCCTTTGCATCCCAAATTCGTAAAGTCTGGTCACCTGCAGAAGCATTAATATATCATGCTTTACACAAGCTTTTTCTGATTATGATCTATATACTTCATGTAGTTATTTGGAAAGGGTATCAGGCTTATGCAAAGTAAAACAGACCTTAAAACATGCAGCAATGATAATATTAATCCCGAAAACTTTAGCTATAAACCTACCTGGGTTAATACAGGTTCAGCCTCCTTCCTTTGCCTTTGCCCTTATTCTTTTCTTTCTGTAGTTTTTGTTTGTAAAGACTATGTGATTGATAAATATTGACCACTTGCCTAGCATGCTTTAATTTATTTAATTTTATTTTTGAAAACATATACACCAATACTGGGGCCCAGTAATGTAAACATACCATACAAATTCTAATTTCAATTGGAACTCAATCATCAATTGGTTTGTCAGCCTAAAAATATAACTAGACTATTAAAATTGCTTTTTAAATGTGCAATAATTCCTTTCCCT